TTTCTTCGTAGCGGTCAAAAGCAGCAGTCCCCTGGATATGACTATCCTCAAACACATCGACAGATGTGCTCGCAAACTTGCGCGCGCTAATTCGCTTCTCGAAGAGCAGATCTAGCTCGGCGAAGGAACGGCCCTTGGGCTCAGGAAGACGGAAATACGTGTAGACGATACTTAGGAAGCAGGACCCGGCCCAGAAGAATCCGGCGTAGTTGCCCCTGTAGTTCATTTAGTATGTTGATGGGTAGGGGACGAGAAGCACTTACCAGTTCCAGGCTCCTGGGTTGAGCATGTAGGGCGTGAGAACGGATGTGATGATGCCGATAACGTTGTAAAGGTTGCGGCCGAGAACAACAGTCTTGATAGCGAGACGACGTGTGGAGAGCTCAGCAACGAGGGAGTAGCACACGGTACCAACAGTCAGCTGGTAGAACATGGCCCACACTATCATCATAGCTCCAGTAGCCATAGCACCCGTTTCGCGCTGAGAGTCTGGCACCAAGCCAAGGAAGCCCATGACGAAGAGCATAGCACATAGTCCACAGAGACCTCCTAGATAGAGCGTTCGTCGTCCAAGCCCAACTTTCATAAGGTACCATGCACCAAAGACACCGGCCATGTTGATACCATACTGGCCCATTGCGAAGTCGTAGGAAGTTGATGCGGGTAGGCCAGCTTGTTGAAGGAAGTAAGATGAGTATCCAGAGAAAGCATTTCCGCTCAGGTTCTGAATCGCCCAGGCCATGCACACAATCTCAGTACGACGCAAATCAGTACCTTTGAAGCAGTCCCAGTAGCTAGCTCCTTGAGTGATCTTCTCCTCGAGAGCAGTAGTGTGTACCATCATTGCTACCGTTTCATCGGCATCGAAATCGGTTTCGCGGTCGAGGCTGGTAAGTCGAAGCAGAGCCTTCTTCGCATCGTCGATTCTCCCCTTACGGACTAACCACCATGGCGATTCGGGTGCCAGGAACACACCAATGATGAGAGGAACTGGCCACATCCATTGGAGCGCGTAAGGAATACGGTACGACCACTCATCAGGTCGGTCGACCATGGAGCGAATCACACCAATACCGATAACCTGGCCTAGGCCCCAGCAGAAGTTGACATAGGTTGTCACTAATTGATGTAAGCTTGTGTATTGGGTGGTAGGGTTTGGATGAACGTACAGTATCCGCGTAGAGCAACAGGGCAAACTTCGCAAGCGTACGTGATTGTAAGCGTCTGGAAGACACCCCATGGGATACCACAAAGAATCTCCGCAACCAGCAAGTGCACCACTGTCTGAGCTGTGAAAAAGATCGTAGTGAAGCCAATGATCAGAAGCAAGCATCCCATGACAGTGTATCGGTATCCAATAGCCTCACTGATCCATCCGTTGAGGAACAGTCCAATGATCTCGCCCACAATAACTCCGTTCGAGAGTCCGGCTTGCCATGCTGCTGGAATCTCCCATGAGCCGTCCGGAAGCTGCTCGCCATACTTTTGCTTGAATTGTGGGAAACCGAAGAAGTTGTTCAGTAGACAAACATCGTACCCTTCCATGACGATACACGTGCTGATGAGGACAGACCATCCAATCGCCTTGGGATAGAGTTTGATGCCCTGCATCAGGGTCATCTTCCGTTCATTGTCGGTAGCGAGTCGTGCGTCGTCAACAAGTTTGTTGGCAGCGCGCTTGTGATCAGCCTCATGGTCGGCATCATGATCCAAGGGAGGAGCCATGGTAGGCTGGATATCCTTCTCTTCCGCCATGGTTGCTGTGGTCAACTTTCTCCAAACCAAATGATCGGGCCGATGGCGATCGCCTGAACTGTTCTAGGACGATAGTGGGGTCTGCGACGCCGCTCCACTCACTCTTGACCAAAACAAAAGTAAAGAATCCGGGGAACTGCTACCGTGACATTGGGTGGTAGGACATGAGGCGGTCTTTAAGCATAAAATTTTGCGGGGTCCGAGTATCGTTAGGGTAAGCGTAGTTGTAGCGGCGAACCATGCACGCCAGGGTCTGGGTCGCGTGCAGACAAGTGGAGCTTTCATCTCCTGCGGCCGTGCTCGAGTATGATTGGGTATCGAAATATGCGACCTTCTTGGTGTAGTTAGCCAGCTCGAAATCAACGCTGAAGGGCTCGGGTAATTCATCGCTCACTTGATCTCGTGCACCCACTGTGCATGCCCAGAGGCCTGTGCTTGGCTAGATCGCCAGTGTCGACGATCGGAGAGTTGGCCGACTAGCTGACCATTGAGCTGGTCGCATCGTGCAGACAACGTGCATGTCTAGATGAAGACTAGAACCCTCATGTCTAAGATCGGCAATAGGAAACGGTACGTAAGGTGAATGCTAACAGTTGTGATGTTGTCGTGTTGACTTGACCTTGTAGGCGTACGAGAGGCATCTCTTTAACTAGGTAAGCCTACGAAGAAGCTTGCCGAGGTAGGGCCATGTCAGCTTCCATCCGTACCTAGCGGTGTAGGTTCAACAATAGCCACATTGAACGCAGTAAATGCTATGAATCGTACCAAATTTTGGCTTATGTTAACGTCGGTCTACTTAACGTTTCTGGGCATGCTCAGTCAACTTCCGTTCAAAGTACATCAAGCCGTCCTCTGTACGTCCACTGGCTGTTCAACATGGTCATGCTCTTCAACGCCCCTAACTACTTCGGGTACAGGTTCCTCCTTCCGCGGTTGTACCCTTCCGCCAAAGAACGCGAGTAGCAGCAAATCGTAAGTCGCTTTCAAGCTACCCGCTGCAACAAATGCGACCCAGAAATGGCTGTTCCCAGCAAGTACACCCGTGACACTTGGTCCACTGCTCTGAGACAGCGTCTTGAGTATGTTCACAACGCCCATAACAGCTGTGCGCTCTCCGGGTAAGACGACGATCGAGAGGAAGGCTGATCGTGGCGCTTGGTCCATAGAGTTGAGTACTGAACGTCCAACAAGGAGACATATAGTCAGAGCAAGGCCCGAAGGAACCGGGAGTAGCGCAAGGAAGATAGAGGAAGGTAAGTGAGTAAATACCATGGCTTGAATCAAACCGAGACGTTTCGCTAGGCTTGAAGCGAAGACGTTACCCAGTGTCGATACAAACCTGTTGGTTGATTAGTGCATGGTTCCGAAGTTGGAATTTGCTTGCAAACATGACTTACCACGTTGCAGACATGATGCCGCCTAACTTGCCCTTTGGCAGATCAAATTTGCGTTCCATGTAGTAGTTGATCAAACTGAAAGGAACCATACCAGAGCCTAAGGAATCTAGAAAAAACAAGCTGCATAGCTTGATGAGAGTGATGCGACTCGACTTGGAAATCTTGCTAAGAGAATGCCAGAATCTCTTGGACTTTTTAGGGGATGCTTCCTGTGCCGCAGGGCTCGAATCCTCGGTTTCGTGACCGTTCAGCAATGGTTCGGTCTCGGGCGATGCAGCAGATTTGTTGCGTTCATCGTTCCAGTCGCTATGTTCGCATCTCTGGCTCAAAAAGAGTGTCATCAAAGCCTTGATACAACCAACACCGGTGTAGATCCAGAATATCGCACGATACGCATCCAGATCCGTCCAACCCTCGATAGCTTGCAAGTTGTCGACAGCCACACCACCAACGGCCAAACCCGTTGACGTGCCCAGTACAGCCAAGACGACGTACCAAGTGTACACATCTGATCTCTTGTCCTCAGCCACCAGATGCGCCAACGTCGACTCTTCGACAGCTCTGAACGGCCCGATCTCGTTTCCGCTGGGACTGATAACACCGATGATAGCTGCGAGAAGCAAAGCAACATAGTTACTCGTTGTGGCGAACACAGCGCCAGATATGGCCATAGACACCGCTCCGAGGAGTAAGGTGCGACGTCGTCCAAGTGTATCGGCGACGAGGGTAAGAAGAAGGCTAACGACTACGTCTCCCAACAACGTCAATGACATGAATAGTCCGATCTGTTCGTCTGAGAAGCCTTGCTCTTGGAAGAAGAGTGCCAGGATGAGCGCCACACTGCCATATGCGAAAAGACGAATGTAACGCGTCAGGATGATGATGTACACATCTTTTCCGGCTTGTTTCATAGTCGCAAGCCCTAGTTCGCGACCAAGCCATTGTGCTGCTCTGACAGGCGCATTTTGTATAGACATAATCTAGAGTCAAGGGTTGGGTGTGCTCGTCTCGAATGCGCCATTCACGTGAATGCGTTGGGCAAAGCGAAGGGATGGCGTCTGTTTGAGGTACTCAGGTCGATACACCAGGGTCTTAAAGCATTAGAAGGGTTAGGAAAACTCTAGAACAAAAGAGCAAAGAAGAAGCATTAGTCGAACTTGCTTTTGCAGGCCGATCCAGGACCCGAGTATTTAGTGTTGTCCGGAGGGGATGCCTAGTCGAGGCGCCAGCATACGTCAGCGCCTGCATTCTTCCGGATACGGGAAGGAGCGAAGGGTACGCGGCATGTCGTACACGCCGAGAAGGGCGCTTCAAGGGCTGATGTTGGTTGTCAAAATGTTCGCTTGATCCTCGAGTTGGACAGTCGGTAATTAGAATATTTTGGCTATAACAAGCTGCTGTCTGTTCGATCCGCGGTTGATCATATTTGTGACAGTACTGGTGTGTTCACATCACTGGAGCGCAAATTTCAGTTTGTCGAGCGAGCACCGAGAGCTATGAGGTAGAATCTGATTGCCCATATTAAAGAACACCTAAACACACCAAGGAAAGAGACCTAGTGGCCACCACAAATTGTAATGCAGACACCAGTACATCCCGGAAATCCAAACGAGAGCCTCCATTCTATCCGATCGGGTGTCGCCATGCTAGCACACAGGTTCGGAGTGGAAACGTGGAAACGGTGACGAATGGGAGAGACATGGCGGTCATGTAGTCAGTGAGCATTATGGTAGTACCGCACCATTCCTCGCATCGCATAAGAACGGGAGCTTGTTCCACCCACGTTGCATGCCGCTCGTCCGTAAACACTGGTACGTTTCTCCGACACATAACGACTCTTCCTCTTCTCTAGCAGCAACCTCCGCCAGATCCGTTTTGCACACCTTGGCCCTGGCCAATGGGGACTGTGGGCTTAGTGTTGGCAGTTGTGGTACCCATGCGCTCCTTGATCTGGCGGGCCATGGTTAGGAAAGCTTGCTCGACATTGGTAGCGCTCTTTGCGGAGGTCTCGAGGAATGGGATGCCGAGACTGTCTGCGAATTCCTGGTGATGTTATTAGACACTGAGGGTGCGTGGCGAGTCACGGCATGAGCGTACCTTTGCTACAGTGTACTCGACAACCTTCTTGTCTGCCATATCGGACTTGTTGCCCACTAACAGCTTGTTGACGCCTTCGGTTGCGTATCGGTCAATCTCCTGCAGCCACTGCTTCACATTGTTGAATGAGTCCATGTCTGTGACATCGTAGACGACGCAGATGCCGTGGGCGCCGCGGTAGTACGAGGATGTGATGGTTCGGAAACGCTCTTGGCCGGCAGTATCCCACTGTCATGGCTGTTAGTACCTGATCCCAGACACTGCAACCCCGAGTATACGCACAATCTGTAGCTTCACGGTCTTGCCATCGAGCTCGATCGTTCGGATTTTCTGGTCTTTGTTAGTTCATCGCCGGTCTAGGCTGCAGGTGCGCGGGTGGACGCACAAAGTCGACGCCGATGGTCGAGATGTAGCTCTCGGTGTATGTGTCGTCTGCGAAACGGAGCAGCAGGCAGGACTTTCCGACACCAGAGTCACCGATGAGGAGAAGCTTGAAGAGGTAGTCGTATCTGTTGTAAGGCGAGCCGTCAGCGGGAGCCATCCATGGCGGGGACGGCAGCAACAGGACTGCAGCCGGGATGAAAAAGTACTCTGCAGGTATCCAAGTTAGCATGGTCCTAACCCCAGATTTGGCGTCGCCGTTCCCCAGCCTGTGGCGGTGGGCGTCGCGCGGAGGTTACGTACCACTCAGGGTTCATGATGGCGGTGTTGCGGGGTTGAGAAGAAGGTAGAGACTATGAATGTAAGTTGGGGGGTTATCAAAGGCAGCAGTCGTGGGGGTATCGCGGGTCGTCGAGGCGGACGGTGTTAAGTAGAGGTGGACGAGGTGCAATGCGCGGATACCAGATGTGAATTAGCTTGGCATTCAGCCCAAATCCGTGGTCACAAGTTGCCGTAGCTCGTCGCGCCATGGGAACATCACATTCACGCCTGCTGGTCGGCCGCCTAACTTTCTCCAGTGAGATGCTCGCTGCGCTTTCTGACGTATGACACCTAGTCTGCCCCGTTTCATTCCAGGGCTCTGAGACAGTGGCAGATAATACATCATAATCCAGCAGATGCCATCGGTGCACGCACGTGACAGTCACCAGGGTCCACGGGTGTCAGCCAGCCATGGCACGCATCGTCATCATCACTTTCAGCCCGCAAAGGTGCCATTCTTCGGCCTAAGTTTGTTTTTTTCATGGAATGGAGAATGTGTCGTTCGTTCGCAGGAGTATGCGCTTCTTCGTACGTCGTTGCCTTTGACGTAGCCCAACCTGCTAGTTCTATAGCACCGGTAAACCCAAACCTCCCATATATTACAGACATCAGGATAAGTTCATCGCAACACATTACATTATCTTGCCAAAGGCAGGGATCAGCGTTTGGGCCAACCAGAAGGAAAACACGAGCTTGGGTCCGGTCATGAGCAGCTTAGGTGTCAGTCCCTTGAAGAAGGAAGTGAAGCCCTCGTGCTTCATCATGTTGGACACAATCCTGAATCCGCTCTCGGGGTTCTCAAAGTTCCTGTTCTGAATACGGGTCTTGATGACATCGAGAGGAGCAGAGACGACGAGCGACGCGCTAGCTCCGGCGATGGAGGCAACAAAGTTTTGCGACCATGATGCCGAGTTGTAGTCGGAGAGCTTGTAGAGGTACTCCTTGGCGACGGCGGAACCACCGAAGAGCTGTGTTTACATTAGTATATGCTTTCTTTTTTCATAGAGTGCTGGAACATACCGCAAACGAGCCTGGCGCGTTACGTGCTGCGGTCCATCCCCAACCACGGTACAGTCCGAATCCTTCGTCTGAGACAATCTTGACCAGACCACGGCCTCGGAAAGCCTCGGGGTTTGTTTGTCGCTTAATCTTGAGTACGTCCAACGGCAGGAGAACGATCTCACCAATACCGATAATGGAACCTGCAGTTGCGTGCATGATGGCCTTGCCGTTGCCCTTGCCGAATGCGCGGTCGAAGCTGTCGCCATGGTTGTGCGCGAGGTAGTCCCGTACAAAGGGCTGTCCGCCAAACTTGTATACTCGCTGGAGCACCTTGTATGCGGCAGCGTAGCCGAGACCGGGGAAGAGAGAAAGGAAACGACCACCGACCGAGGCGTTGGCCGCGTCCTTGAAGACGACCTTGTTAAGATGCGCTGCGTTTTCAATCTGCAGTTGCTCGAGTCAGACACGATCGTGGGGTAATTTCGTGGATATGTCGCACCTTTCCAATGTTGCTCATCAACCTCTTCGCTGTGGTGTCGACAGGGTGGAAGACCATAAGCTCTGCGATGCCCGCACATCCTATCCAGGTCAGACGAGTGAAATTGCCTCGAGAATGGCATATGTACCTGCACCCAATACCCTAGCTGTGTTGGACTCCCTCTTGTACACCTTTGCGGACGAGTTGGTGCCGGCAGCGGCTTGCGCAACCTTTGCTACGGCTTCGGAAGGTGATGGCGTCATGATCGAAGATTTCGAGCAACGAGTAAATTGAAAATTGACAGACGTTAGAGGGAGCAACAGCGCAAGGCGATTGCGGTACCGAGCAATGAAGAACGGGAGCTAGAGATAAGATGCCCAACGATACCCGCTCCAAAAAAAAAGTCGTCGGGGAAGCGAGTTCAATGTCCGGTGTCGCCCCGCCAAGCCGCGCTACCATGCATATCCTGGGGAGCCCTCCATCTTGACATTGGACAGAACACCAGCATTACCAGAGCTGAAAGTAGTCGTGTCGTATTGAACGCCCATCCTGAATCTTATACTCCTCCAAGTCATGTTGCATGCTTTAGGCAGACACATACACTACATTTCATCTTGCTAGCCAACAAAGTAATACACCACGAATATCTTGAGGGTAGGTTAAAACCGGTGTTATGTGTACTCGGTCGTCAATGTTCACCTGCTTGAGTGGCTGGTTACACCCACGGGACTAAAACGGTCCGACCATTGGTATCTTGGAAGTTGCTATGAGGCTGTGCAACAACGGCAAGACTTAAAGACATAAGGCGCGCAGTCAGCGGATCTTGGGAGTCTTCCTCGCACGCAACCTAACGACAGAACGTTCAAGTTCCAGGAAACCTCCCAAAGTCCCGCAAAAATGTTTGATAAACTCCGAGGCAAGTCGCCCTCCGGTCATTCCAAAGGGGAATCAATTGACGACACCCCCAATGATTTATCTGCACCCCCTCCACCTGCCTACGCAGCTGCTTCCTCCTCCGAATCTGCATCATCAGCACCCGTGCAAACACGTTTCGCCTCTTTGTCTCTCCACAAGGAAGACCGTCTTCGTTTCCTGCGCTTTCCCGAACCCATCATCTCCAGCTGCCGCGCAACCGTTCTAAGAACCTGGCCTCAAGGTATCGACGAAGAGCGCCGATACGCAAACAGTCAAGAAATTAAACTAAATGGTTACCCTTGGCGCGGATATGGAAAAGAGGGGGTGCACGCACGGCGTCTGATGAACGGTCTGTTAGCAACTCTACACGCCTCAGGGTGGCTCTTGACACTTAACACCGATATAAGCAAGAGTGCTGTGGACAAAGATACCTTGCTCTTCCGATACCAGAGCCCACCTCCGTCGCCGCACGAATGGTGTGTTGTGTCGTTCAGTCGGCAAGATCGGCTGCGCTTTATGGACGCACCTGCTTCGTTGTATAGCTCCCTCCCATCTCGTGTGGGAGCCAACTGGATTTCAGCATCCGAACAGCATTCGCCTGGGATCTGGGAATTTAAACTCAAAGGCTACCCATGGCAAGCTAGTGGCGAAGAAACAATGAGGGTCAGAGAATTGTTGATAGCACTGGTAGAGGTGTTGGAGGAGGAGGGATGGAGCGTGTATGCTAGTATCGATCAGAAGAGTAGCGGAGGGCAGGGTGTGAGCGAAACAGATACTTGGCATTGCTGCAGAGCGAAGGGGTGGGAGAAGGGTATGCCCGTCTATCTTCGATGACGTGGAAGGGAGCGAGACACAAGGGGTAATTGCGCTGGAGATCTCTTAGGCCAGTTTACGAGTTTTCAATGTAGAACTACGTGTTTCCTGAACAATGTTTTGCTTGCTTGAAATAGTCTAAATACCCCAACGCCGCTTATGCATATCATCAAGAGGGTATACACGAATGTTACAAGCTAACTGTCAAGCTTCATGACGCTTAAGAGGGAGGGCTGCCAATCTCCTTCTTTACCCAGTTCTCCAATCCACCAAGAGCAATGATCTCCTGCACATTGGGAGGCAGCTCGCCGACCTTGACGTTCCACTTGGCGCCATTGGGTCCTTCTTGTACGGAGACAGTACTCCTGCGAACGTCCCACTCAAGAGTCCAGCCGGTGCGGCGGGTCAACTGCTTGGCTTGGCTAGGCTGAGCAGCAGCAGCTGGGGGTGGTGAATCAAGCGACTCACGGTTGTTTGAAGGCTCCTTGATAGCTTGCTGTGATGACGAAGCGTCTTGGGAAGAGAAGACTTCGCGGAGGCGGTTGGCCAACTTGGGGACCTCGACACCCATCAAAGCATTGTTGATGCTGTTGCGGCTGAAGATGTTACCGAAGCTACCAGAGACGACGAGCGGAATACCCTTTGCCAGGATAGCAGTTGCAGCCTGCTCGCGACTGCTACCGCAGCCGAAGTTAAAACCTGAGACAAGAACGTCACCAGCTTTTGCAATCTGGCCAAAGTTGGGGTCGTAGTTCTCCATGCACACGTCCGCCATCTTCTCGCGGGTTACATCGTCTTGGTATGTATATTTACCAGGGTAGATACCATCGGTGTTGATGTTGTCTGCGTCGCAGAAGACAATCTCGCCGCTGATCTTCTCGGGGAAACCAGGGAGGATCTCAGTCAAAGTCTCAGCTTCCGAGCCTGATGTCGCGGGCGGATTCACGGATTGTGTCTCGGGCTCGGCGTTGCCAAAGGTATCGATAGCAGCCTCAGCATCCTTGATGGCCTTCTCGAGCATGTCTTCGATAGTCATCATACGCTCTTCCTCGGGAACACCATCGCCCTCTCCCCGCCGAACGCCTGCATAGCCTTCAGGAGCCTCGTACCATCCAGGACCTGAAATTTTGCCCGACAAAGCACTTGCTGCAACTACTTCAGGGCTAGCAAGGTAGGCCTTTGCGTCGGGCGATCCCATACGACCCTTGAAGTTACGGTTACTTGCGCTAATACCAACCTCACCAGGCTCAAGGAGACCCGTACCGAGTCCAATGCAAGGACCACAGCCAGAAGGCAGTGGCTGCGCACCAGCTTCCAGGAGCGCCTGCCAGTCACCGGCCTCTTCAGCAGCTTTTTGTTCAGGAATTGACGCGGCGGCGATGTAGAAGTTGACATTGTCAGGGATCTTGGGGATCTTGCCGCCGTTCAGAACAGCAGCATCTTTGAAGACGTTGGCGGCGGCAGCAAGATCAGAAGCGCGGGAGTTGGTGCAAGATACGAGGTATGCTTTGTTGATCGGGATGTTCTGGCTTTGGAGTTCAAGCAGGGGAGTGGCAACCTTGACCGAGTTTGGACCGGAGACATATGGTGACAGAGTGGAAAGGTCAAGGAACAGCTCTTTGGCATAGACAGCTCCCTTGTCCGCAGCCAACGCAGGCTTGAAAATGTGACCCATCTTCTCTCCAACAATGCCAGTAGCAGTGAACAGCTGATCAATACGTTCATGAATAAACTGCTGCTGGTGGTGATCCTTGGCCTGTCCTTCTCCCATGGCGGCTAGAGTCGCCCTTGCGCGAAGCCAGCCGTGGAGGGTGGAGTCGATAGGGAAGAGTCCAGTGAGAGCACCCCATTCAGTTGTCATGTTCGCAATGGTGAGGCGATCGTCGACGGGTATGCTACCAAGGGTCTCATCGGTTCCGGTGAACTCAATGGCGTGGTTGAGCACTTCGTCCTTGTTAAAGAGACCCGCCAGAGCAACAATGACGTCCTTGCCAGTCACGCCTTGAGGCATCTTGCCATTGAGAGTGACCTTTGCGACAGGTGGGATTTGCCACCAGGTCTTGCCCGTTGCCCAGATACTCGCAGCGTCTGTTCGCACGACAGGTGTACCCAGGCATCCAATACCGCCGTACATGTTGGAATGACTGTCGGAAGCTACAGCGAGCGTTCCTGGCCATGCGTAGCCCTCCTCTACCATGATCTGATGGCCAATGCCCCGTCCGGCGGGATAGAAGACGACATCCTGCTTCTGTGCAAACTCCTCGATTTGGCTGTACTTCTTCAAGTTCTTCTCCGTCTTGTTCTGCACGTCGTGATCGAGAGTCATGACAATCTGCTTTGGGTCGTTGATCTTGGTGGCTCCAATGCCCATGAACTTGAGAGCCACAGGCCATGAGTTGTCGTGTGTCATGCATTTGTGCGGCTGCAGAGTGACATAGTCGCCAGACCTGAGGACTTTGCCCTGCGCAACACCGACGGCATGTCGCTGGACAATCTTCTCTGTGAGCGTCTGTGGTGTCTTGGGCGTCTCGTTGAGCGAAGAGAGAAAGCTTGCCGCGGGGCTCTCTTTCATCGAGGGAAAGACATCCTGGGCCTCGCGACGGCTAGCGGTCGTAGCAAACGTCCGTGGCGCGAGACATGGTCGAGGCGAGAACGAGGCGGCACGAAGAGCCAGACCTGCTCGAGGCTACATTTGCAACGTTAGGCGGGACGGAGCATGAGACCATGTTTTACAACATACTGCTAGTTGCCTGCGACCCAAGAGCCGGGCTGCCCGTAGCGACATTGCCATTGCTGGTACTTGGGGGATGGCAGCAATGTGGTGTATGCAATGGTGAATGCGCGCTTCCCCAGACAAAAATTCCCCACCGAACTTCGGCGCCAGTCATCCATTCCCTCGCGCTGCCATTGGACACAGCCAGACGCGCTCAATTGCTTCGCATAATGCATTCAACGCCCACGCGGGCAGCATGTAGCATCTGTAGCGGACCATACTTGAGTGCTCTGCATACGTGGCCCGCCATGTCCATGTTGCATGCTAGCCCGAAGTCGGAAGCAGCTGTTGGTAAGAGGCGGGCAGTAGAGTCATTCTCCGTATGACGCGACGTGAGAAGACTTTCTGTACAAACCGCCCCTCTTTGCTCAATTTCTCTCATGTCACTTCGGTTCTCCTCTGCACACAACACTACTAGCCTCCAAACCCGTCGTCGCCATGGTCAACCGCTCTGACGTCAACTACTTTGGCGCTGGCCCTGCTCCCTTGCCCACCGAGGTCCTCGAGGAGGCCTCGCAGGTGCTCCTGAACTACAAAGACAAGGGCATTGGTCTTTGCGAGATCTCTCATCGTTCACCAGAAGCCAACGAGATTCTTGCAGACACCAAGAAGGCACTTGCTGACCTGCTCGAAATCCCTGACGACTACGAGATCCTCTTCCTCCAGAGCGGCGGTAGCGGCGAGTTCAGTGCGACTGTATACAACCTTGTCTCGATATGGGTAGAGAAGAAGCGCGCAAAGATTGCGGAAGAGGTGGGCGACAACAAGGATGAGCTGATGAAGAGGCTGCGCAAGGTCGTCGACGAGGAGCTGAAGCTCGACTACCTCGTCACCGGCTCCTGGTCGCTCAAGGCATCGCAAGAGGCAGCGCGTCTTGTAGGAGCGAAGCACGTCAACGTAGCCACCGACTCGCGCAAGGTCAATGACGGCAAATTTGGAAAAATCGCCTCTGAAGACCAGTGGAGCCTCACACCACGTTCCAAGGGCGGGCCTGCCTTTGTATACTTCTGCGACAACGAGACAGTAGACGGAGTCGAGTTCCCGTCTTTTCCTCAGAGTCTCGAGGGCGACGACGCGCCATTGGTCTGTGCCGACATGTCGTCAAACTTCATCTCCCGGAAGGTCGACGTGCGCAAGTATGCCATCATCTTCGGTGGCGCCCAGAAGAACATTGGCAACACCGGCATCGCGATTGTCATCATGCGGAAGTCGCTTCTTCCGCCACACTCCACTCCAGCTTCGCCTGACCTCATGAGAGAGCTCAACTTGTCTGTTGGCCCCATTGTGCTAGACTATCCTACCATCGCGAAGAACAACTCACTCTACAACACGCTGCCCATCTTCGACGTCTGGGTGGCTGGCCAGGTCATGTCTGGACTAGTCAACTCCTACGGCACTAAGCGTATCGGTGGTCAGGAGGAAGTCTCCAACGAAAAGGCCCGGCTCATTTACGAGACACTTGAAAAGTACTCTAATGTCTATCAGGTCGTGCCCGACAAGACTGTACGTAGCAGGATGAATATTTGCTTCCGTGTCTCTGGTGGAGATGCGGACAAGGAGAAGGCTTTCCTTGCGGGTGCAGAGAAGAAGGGCCTGCTAGGCTTGAAAGGACACCGCAGCGTGGGTGGCATTCGTGCCAGTAATTGTAAGTGCCTCTATACTTCCCGCACTATTGATGGTGCTCTCAGTCATGCTTCGAGTCGTGACTTTACAGGGTACATTGGGCTACGCGGCTTGCAAGCCAACGTGGTCTAACGTGCTCAACCCAGGATCCGACCCAAAGCAAAGCTCTCCAACAACCTAGGCTAACTTCTTTGGTGCTGTAGACAATGCTGTCTCGCTAGATGGGACTAAACTGCTTGTTGCGTACCTTGAAGAATATGCGAAGTCTGCCTGAGCAAGACTTTGCACGATAGCATGAACGTGTCTGCGAATTCGCCGTATGAGGCGACGTGTGACCAAAAAAATACCCTCTTATTATGTCGGTGTTATTCAACAGAACACTCGTAATCAACGTAGCCAACTTTTAGTCTGCACATTCTGGTCTTCCTATTGCTGATCCCACCCACGACAACGGATCAGCATGCTCGCGTCCGCCAAGTTCTTGATTTGCATTGTCGGGGATTTCTCTGAGGCATACCCCTGTATCTCGTGCTGTGTGGCTGGGGCAGTGTAAAGACCAGTGGCTTGGTCTTCTCGAAAGTTCTCCTCTTTCCATACGAGCATCATTATGCCTTGACGAACTTCG